AGTCCTCCTGGTGATGGGGTGTGGCTGCCTGACACAAGCCCCCGCCCACCCACGCCTGCTGTGCACACAGCCTCCTGCTGATTGGCCGTTACGTGTGAGGGTGTCATGGCCATTTGCATATTACCCTTTTATCAGTGTATATATAAAGGGTGTCCCAAAATTCACGCAAGAAGTCATTTTGATAGAAAACACAGGTTTATCATTAAAAACTGTAAATTTTTTATTGATTCATAAAGGACACAGTCTAGGGTTTATGGATGGAATAGCCCATCGGGTCCATGGCCTCCCCGGCTTTGCTGGCACAGACGCCAACCCGCGGTCTCCGTTGGTCTTCCTGGTCCCTGCTCCTGGGCCGTCTGGGTCCTTGGTGATGCTGATCGAATCGAAGGGATTGACACCAAAAGAAAATTAAAAAAATAGGCTGCATATGAAATAACCCGCGTCTCTCTCCGTGGCACGGCCACAGCCCTGCCCCGCTCTCCGTGGTGGCTTGTCCCCCCAGCCCACAGAGAACCAACCCGTGTTCATGTTTCCGGCAGTTTCCCTCCGTTCTTCGACGACAACCCGTTTGGCATCTACCAGAAGATTCTCGCCGGCAAAATCGACTTCCCCCGATACTTGGATTTCAACGTCAAGTACGTACCAAGGTTCCCTCCCTGTCTGGGGGCGTGTTGATTTTTTTTAAAGCGTCAAAAAAACCCACAAAAAAACCCAAAAATTCCGACACCAGACATCTCTCGGTCAGATGTGCCCCTAGCTCGACTCGCTGGGTTATGTCGGAATTATTTGGATTCTTCTCTCCATGATACTTAACCTGGTTTTTTTTTTAATTCTCTTTTCCTCCTAAAGATATTTCTTGTCCCTCATTCCCTTTATTTTTTAAAATATATTTTATGTATATATTGAAATAAAATACATAGTTTTTAAAAAGTATATTTTTTTTATATATTTAAAAACATATATATATATTTTTATTGATTGAAGAGAGAAGAGAGAGAGAGACATCCGTGACGAGAGAGAATCATGGGCCGGCCGCCTCCTGCACGCCCCCTACTGGGGATGGAGCCTGCCACCCGGGCCTGTGCCCTTGACCGGGACTCGAACCCGGGACCGCCTGGTTCCCAGGTGGACGCTCAACCACTGAGCCACACCGGCCGGGCTGTATATTTTTTATTTTTTATTTTTTTACCGACAGAGACCTCATTAAGAAGCTGCTGGTGGTGGACAGGACGCGGCGCCTGGGCAACATGAAGGTGAGACCGTGTGGCCGTGAGGGTTCAGGGGTTTTCACGACGGGTCCCTGCCGTTCGACGCCAGCGTTTCCATGTGGAGAGAGAGAGATGGGGGTACAGGGTCCCGCTGAATCCGCGGCCGGAGTTCACGCCTCGGTTCCTGGGCCCACAAAATTCGCCTCGGTCTGCACCCGTCTCCCCGTGTGTCCGTACGAGCCAGTGACTCAGCGGTGATCGATAGGTGGTTAGTTATCTGTCAACTATCTATCTTCCTATCTATCTATCTGTCTATCTATCTATCTATGCCTAAGTGATCGTTATGACCAAACAACTGGAACGACAAGTTGACCAGTCACTATGATGTGCACTGACCACCAGGGGGCAGACGCTCAACGCAGGAGCTGCCCACTGGTGGTCAGTGTTCATTAATCTAATTCATCCTTCATCTCTATCTAGCTATCATCTATTAATCAATCTACTATCAATTTATCTTTCTATTATCTATCAATCTACTATCATCCATTTGTCATCTAACATCTATCTATCTATCTATCTATCTATCTATTCACCCACCACTCAATTCATTAATCTAGTCCCCCTTCATCTCTATCATCTATGTATCATCTAGCTATCAGTCAATCTCCTATATCTATCTATCTATCTACCTATCTATCTACCTACCTATCTATCTACCTATCTATCTATCCATCTATCTATCTATCTATCTATCTATCTGCCCGTCTATCTATCTATCGTCTGTCTGTCTATCTATCTATCTATCTATCTATCTATCTATCTATCTATCCGCCCGTCTATCTATCTATCTATCTATCTATCTATCTATCTATCTATCTATCTGTCTGTCTGTCTGTCTATTCACCCACTCACCCAATTCGTGAATCTAATTCATCCTTCATCTCTATCTAGCTATCATCTATCTATTAATCAATCTACTACCAATATCTATCTTTCTATTATCTATCAATCTACTATCATCCATCATCTAACATCTGTCTATCTATTTATCTATTCACTCACCCACACAATTCATTAATCTAGTCATCCTCCGTCTCTATCATCTATGTATCATCTAGCTATCAGTCAATCTCCTATGTCTATCTTTCTATCAATCAATCTATCAATCTATCATATGTCTGTCATCTAACGTCTATCATCTATCTTTCTATCTATTCACCCACTCACTCAGTCTGTTAATCTGTCATCCTTCATCTCTATCTAGCTATCATCTATCAATCAATCTACTATCATCTGTCTGATCTGTCATCCTTCATCTCTATCTAGCTGTCATCTATCAATCAATCTACTATCATCTGTCTGTCATCTAACATCTACCTATCATCTGTCTATCTATCTATCTATCTATCTATCATCTATCTATCATCTCTCTAGCTATCATAATACCTTAGGATCCCTACGAGAGTTTCGACGGCTTGTGAGTCAACGTCCCGACTTTCTTGCTCTCTCTTAACCTCGCTCAGGTAACACCCAACAGATACTTCCTGTTGGACTTAGATGTGGACGGCCAACATTTATCCCCCAAAGGAAAAGACGACTGGTCACCGTAGCAGGATTAGAAAAAAAAAATACGTAGAAACAATTCATCAGCATTTCCTTCTATTTGCAGTTGTGGCCATCGAGAATGTCCTTTCCTGTGGGCAAAAATAATATGAAAATCTTAAAAATTATGATACAGGCCCCGGCCGGTGTGGCTCAGTGGATAGAGCGTCAGCCTGCGGACTGAAGGGTCCCGAAGAGACAGAGAGAGACACATGGATCGGCCGCCTCCCGCACGCCCCCTACTGGTTGGGGATGGAGCCCGCAACCCGGGCCTGTGCCCTTGACCGGGAATCGAACCCGGGACCCTCCTGGTTCCCAGGTCGACGCTCACCACTGGGCCACACCGGCCGGGCAGGGAGATTGCTGGGAAAGTTTTCTCTCCCACGTGGATAAATTCTGTGCCCTGATGGCCCGTGTTTCCTTGGACAGAACGGAGCCGAAGACGTGAAGAGGCATCGCTGGTTCCGCCTGGTGGACTGGGAGGCCGTCCCCCAGAGGAAACTCAAGGTACAGCCGACGCCCAAGGGG